GTGCAAATCAAGAGGGTAAGAAAAGATGTTTGCACATTATATTTTTATCCTTAGTTCTCATTCAGCTTCTCTCAGGGAGTTTAGCAATGTACTTTTACAACAGAGTTTCTCACATTTCCAGGTGTACTGGAAACCCCTGGAGAGCTGTGTCCAACAAAATGCTGGTCCTAGACCACAGTCTTGAATATCTTCTGTGTGATGCTGACGCTGGAGGTCCAAGGATCACACTAGGAACTTCTCTCTTAGAACTTATCTCAAAGCCTGGCAGCAGGATTTCCAGCAGGTGCAGTGGGACCCTGATCTAGGTGACTGGACATCAGAATTGCTATGGATAGGGCCCAGAAAACAACATCCAGAAGGGTTCCAGATGAACCTTACCCACAGAAATAGCCAAGCCTTCTCAGAGGTACTGAAAGCTGCCTAAGTGCAGGTTAATCACTCTTCATGGCCCTCATTCCAATTTCCCTGGATCCCCCACTTAATGGCAAAGAGGGCCTAAGAGCAGAGGCCCATCCCTCACCCACTAAGATAAGCAGGCTGAATGAAACATACAACCCTATTCTACTCATCTCCTTTTCTGCTTGTGTTTTTTTTCCTCACTCACTTGTAGCCCCTTAATTATGCCCTGGCCCTTGCAAGTTGCCACACCAGAGGGAAGAGGATGCATTACAAACTGGAAAGTTTGATGACTAAATTCTTCCTCCTCCCCACCCAACACAGTCCTACTTATTTTTCCTTTTTGAAGCTACAGTGTAAACTCAGGCTTTCTGATGACTAAACTAAAAACCACTGCAGTATTTTAGGAACCCAAGAAATTGAATTGCTTTACAGTAGGAATGCTGGCTTATAGCAGTTTATAGCTTTTAAAAAAATGTTTCACTCTTGAGTTAGAAAGATACTCCAGTCTTCTCTGGCTAAATAGTTAAGAATTAACAGGATCTGTGCCACACTGATGACATGAAACTATAAGGAACTTGGTGAAAAAGAGAGAGAGAGAGATCTCCAAATGAAAGTCACATATGAGGTATACACCATCCTTACACTTAAAAAAACTGCAGAGTATTTAGATAACACATCATTCTGGAAAACTGCATGAACTATAAAACAAAAACTGAAAGAATACTTAATCTGCAATGGTTCCTCAACAAGGCTGTGTGTTCTCACATCAGCCCAACAAGTCCAAGCACCTCTTAAATTCAATGAAAAACTTAAAGCCATTGATTTTTATGCAATTGTTTCAGAAGTAAATTCTATGGTACATCTTTTACCGAGACTAAAGGCCATGATTTCTTTATAGAGGCTGATATCATATGAAGTTGTAAGTCAAGTGACTTGCTTGTTAGTGAAAGTTTATTTAGAATTACTTGTTATGCACACTTAACTGTATCACTCCATGTCAGAAACTTCCTCTCTGGAAACCCATACAATAACCCTTAGGAAACAGAGGCTAAAACCTGTAATTTTCTAGATCAGAACAATTTATTATGCTTAAGCAATTCTTCTCTGCAAACACATAACACTAAGAATGGTACAGTAATTTCCCAGCATATTCTGTTCAGGCTCACTGATTGAAACTTGAAGTAGTTTCTTCCTATCAATTATCTAGTGAAAGCACCACAGAAATGTATAATGTCCTGACTACACCTATCTGAAAAAGAAAAAAAAAAAAGACTGCTAAACAAATCCATCACTACCCATTGTAAATAGACTTTCACAAGTTGGCATTTTGCAATAATTTTAGGCTTATAGAGGAGTTGCAAAACAGCACAAAGACTTCAAGCACCCTCTTCACATAGCTTCCCCAGTGCTACCAATGACCTTATATAACCAGAGCAGAATTTCCAAAACTAAGAAGTTAACACTGGTGCAATGCTTTTAATTCAACTACAGACTGTATTCAAATTCTGGCAGTTTTCCCACTAATGTCCTTGAAAGATTATTTTGAAAAGAAGTTTCTGTAGAGGACTTCAAGTTCAAGGTTTAATCTATTCAAAACACTTCACTTGGAAAAAATTTTAAAAGGCCAATTCTGTATTTGTTTCTACAAACTATAGCTTAACAAAACTTAACACATCAATCCCACAGAGACACAATATTAAGCACTTCACTGTACAAGGCTTAGTATAATTTGGCTTTTTAAGAAATGGGGTCAAAGAGGAATAACTTGTCAACTCTGACTTCTTACCAAAAAGAGAGTTTAAGCAAAACTGAAACAATTCAACTTTTTTCCTCACATTTTCTGGTGCTACTCTTAACTATCACTCAAAGGTGAGGAGACAGTTAACTTCTGTTATTTTGCCTAGCAAATCAATATATGGTGAGGCTAGAAACGATTTTCAAACAAAATATTTAGCTAATAAAGTCCTCACAGGCCAAAAGAAAAGTCTTAATGACTTTCTCTTTTAATGAGTTTAGCATTCTTTCTGGTGTCTGATAGCCAAAGGAGGGTAGGTCATCTCCAGAAATGACTAATTAGCAATCTTAATTCCAAACTCATTCCAAAGGAGGCAGAAGACCACTGTAGAAGAGAAGCAGCAAAGTCATCTTCAATATAAATCTCACATGAAAAACCACCATTATTAAAAGTTCATAGTTTAGTTCATTAGGTGGTCTGAAGAGAAAAAACACATGGAAAACACAAGCCAAGCCTAACATGATGTTTTGTGTCTGCATGGTACTAGGGAAGTACCTCAAAGTTTTGAGAACCCTAGGCAAGAGGTCTCAACAATCTCTGTTCTCCCTCACTTTTATACCAGACAATTCACATACAACCTGAATGTTTGTAAATGATCAATACTAGTAATTTATTCAACTAATAGAGAGTGCCTATTGGGGCTAAGGCGCTATATTGTTTTGTGGGGAACAAAGAAAGAAAGAAAATGACTTAGCCCTCAAAGAGCTTCTGATCTAGCTTCTATAAAATTTATTTACATATCAGGTAAAAACCAGCTAACTGTTGCAATTTCTCAAGTAATCATAAAAAGAAACATGTCATTGTCACCTAAAGCATCAAAATGAATTTTCCCAACTTGAAAAAAAAACAAACACAAAAAAAACTTTTGCAAGGCTTCAAGCACCAAGAATCTGTAGTTCCTAAAAGGCAAAGTGGGTGAATGGAGGAATTAATTGAATCCTAGCTGATCCTTACACACATGAGATCTGCCACATTCAAATTTTACAATTTTTTTAACTTTTCAAAGACATCACTTGGATACAATGTTCTTTTACCCACTAACATAACAGATCGCTCTGGCTTTCCAAATTTAAAAAAAAAAAAAAAAAAAGTTGTTCCCATGAATGGTACATATAACTCAAACAAATACAAAGACATATTTCCTCCAAAAGAAAACTTGGGGTGAAGTTTAGTAAAATGCCTATTCTAGTTGGTTGGTTATTTATCTCAACCTAACGAAGACGTAAGTCCGTGGTACTGCTAAGACTGAAATATTTTCTAGTGATGCAGTCATGGTTTAATTAGTCATATACATACATGTTTGTCCTCATCTCCTTACACACCATTTAAAAATCTATGCCAGAGCGTTAACTTCAAACAAGACCCTGGCAGGGATGTTAGCGATTTTAATAAAGAAAAAACTTCACCCAAACTCAAAATTGACTTCTAATACTAATGAGTTACAAGGCTACCAAACTGGCAAGTGCTACTCCATTATTCACTAATAAGTGGGGCCAAAATTGGCATCGAATTTATACCAGACAACTGTGCATTATGTTAACTTCTGCAGCAAGTGCAATTATCAGACATCAAGGAAATATTAAGCTTGAAGAAAGTTAATTCTCCACACAATTTGACAATTTGAATTTCTTTCAAAGCACAGAGCAATCGGCTCTCTCCCAGCCCCAGTGTCTCCAACTGTGGTCAAAGTTCCCTGAGCTCGGCAGCACACAAGATACAACTCTCACAGAGCAAGAAAGTAAAAACTGATGTCACCACGCACAAAGAACAAACATATGTATATATGCAATTAATGTTGACCAAAAGGGACCTTTGTCAAATAAAAACAAGACTGTAAATCCCAGCTTGCTCTAAATAACCACTGAACACTATTTTGTGTGTCAAGTTTAAGGATAATGAGCTTTTTAAGAAAAAAGAAAATTCACTTCCATCACTCCTTAATGAAACTAATAAGCAGGAAAATGAGCATGTGTGAATGTTGCCAGGGTCTGCCATCCACCCACGTGTGTCATGCAAGCACGCACACGCACACACACAGGAGCTTCTAAAGGAAAGCCCTGGGACATCTTCCTGGCCCGACCGCACCCCCAGCTCCTATCAACTCAAGCCCCTTTCTCCACAAGGTGCATCTCTGCACTGGCAACACAGACTGGGCCGGTGGGCTTGCGCTCCCTCATCGCAGCCCACCTCCTGCTTGCACCCAGGAACCCCTCCCACGGATCAGAGTAAACAAGCTGCCGCTGGCCTTGGCGTTCTTAGGGGACCGAGGGAGGGCACAGAGGATGGGGTGGGGGGGAAGACGGGGAAACGTAGCGGTGGAGACTCCCGCCCGGACCCACCCAGAACGCCCGTCTGGGCTTTCCGGGGAATCCGCACGGCCGCCGGCCGCGCAAGGAAGGCAGGACTCCGGGAAAGCGCCGCTGCCGCCGGAGCCGGCGCCAGGTCCCGCGATCGCCACGGCCGAGCCCCCGCAGCCTCCGGGAGACCGCTGCTCCGGGTCGAAGGGGACCGCGCGGCGCCCACGCCCGGCGGCTGCAGCTGGGAACTTCAGGCAAAGTTTTCCGCTGTTGCTTTCGCCGCCGGGAAGCGGGCCAGGAGCGACCGCGCCACCCGAAGCACGAGCTCAGGCCGCGAAGAGACGGGGACTGGACGGAGGGCGTCCAGGCTCGAGGACTGGCGCTCGCTCGGGTGCGTGCGTTGCGCCGGCCGGGGTGCACGGTTCCAGCCTTCCTTTTAACTCGCTACTTGGTGCCTGCCTCAGACTCTCCCGCCCGGGAGCTGCCGGCGTCCCGGGCTGTCCACTTACCTGAAAACGTCTCCCCCGCCACAGTTAGGAAAAGTCCGGCCAAAGTCGCCAAGCAAGTCCCAAGTCTCGTCATGGTGCGGAGTGCGCGCCGGGCCGCGCCGGGCAGCGGAGGGGGACGCGGCTCTGGGCTTCAGGCAGCCACGCGCAGAGCCAAACCCCCAGAGTGCCAACAGTTGCAAAAGTCTGAACTCGGGCGGCCTCCGGGGCACGAGGACGGCGTCCGGGGTCCTCCAGTCCCGCCCCGGGCTCCACTCGGTGCCTGGCGCTGCTGCGAGAGGGAGCAGAGGGCGCGCCCGGCCAGCCAAAATCCTTCCTGGGTTCCGGCGGCGCCACCCGCCGCCGCTCGCTTCCTCCGCTCGGGACCGAGCCGCCGGCGCACGGCCGTGACGGTGGTGGCCGCGCGCGTCCTGCCTGCCTGCTGTCCGCCGGCAGCCCCAGCCAGCCAGTCCCAGGCGGCGGCGCGCGGAAGGCAGAGCCCGCGCCGGCTGCGCGCGGGGCTCCTGCTCCCTGACTGACTGGCGGTGCCCCGCAGGCCGGCTGAAGGGAGCCCACGTCACGGCCGCCCGCCCGGCGCCGCCGCGGCCCGCTAGAGGGCGTGAGCGCTGCGCCCCGCCGGCCCGTGCCCCGCGCTCGGCCACAGCGGCGCCTCGGGAGCTCGGCGGGGGGCGGCCACGGGCGCGGGTGCGAGGCGTGACCCGGGCGGGGAGGAGCGGCCGCCGGGGTCGCCACGCTCAGCCCCTCCTTGCCGAGGCCGTCGTCTATCCGGCGGCTGGCTGCGGAGGGTGGCTGTACGAGGGGCTGCGCCTCCGCCAGAAGTTTGTCCCGGGTCACGAGCCGCGAGGAGTTTGTGAGCCCGCGGGGTGGGGCGGGGCGGGAGCCGCGGCCTGGAGCTCCTTCCTTTCCCCGGCGCCGAGGTCGGGAAGGCAGTGTCACCGAGCACGGCCAGCTGCGCGCGGAGTTCCAGCGCCCGCGCTCCCCGGCAGCGGCGGGAAAGGCGGGGATCGCTGCGGTTGTTGCCTCGATAGCCGAGGCTCCGAAGGGCTGCGGCTGCTCCGCGCCGCGGGGGCTGTGCGCCGGCGGAGCGAAGTTGGTTGGCGAGAACCGGCAGCGCCGAGAGAGCGGCCCTGCGCCCAGCCCGACCCGGCGGCCGGGAAGCCGGGCGCGCCTCTGCTGCCGCGTGGTGCCTCAGAGTCCCGAGTGGGCCGCGAGCGAGCCACGGCGGTGCGTGGAGGCCGCCGCCACGCAGACCTCAGGCTTTGGACCTAGCCCGTCATTTTTTGAATCGGGTGCAAATTGCTGAACAACGAGGGATGAAGAAAGGTGGAGCGTGAATGGAATGGTCATTGAATCTTTTACTTTGCCATCTGGGGGTCTGAGATGATTGTTTTATTAAGCGAATAAAGATGCCTCCTCTCGTGTTTCCGTCAAAAGTGAATATTTAAATTTAAATTGTAACTTTCCAAAAAGTAATCCTCTTTCAGGATCAACACCTGAAGCCACACCAGACAGCTCACCTGCATGCAATAGGGTGCTTGGGAAAACCTGAAATGTTTTGATCTGGGGAGTTCTTGATAGCAGGAAGCCAGGGATTCTCCAGTGCTATCCCAAGGCTCCTTTTTCAGTGCTCCCCAGTTTATGAAGCACCTATTGGGATGCTTTAAAGACCCCAGAAAGCTCCTGTTAACCCAGTCTCCAGAGGCCCCAGAACCAGCAGCAAGAATATCTTTCAACAACTAGCACTCTTCCTTCTGGACGTCTGCTTACTGAGTCCTTATGAGAAGTGTTGTTTTCAAGTCTTTCCCCATTAGTTATTGACTTCCTAATCTGACCTTATATTACCATGCTTCTTTATTCAAATATGTACCTGTTGAGCCTTATCTTGAAATGTGAAATGAAATTTTGAAGTTTGATAGGAAAAAGAATCTCATACTTTAAAAAGATCAATAAATGACAACGGTCCAGACTGCAACTGTAGCTTTCCAATTTTGATGAAACTGCTCTGCTAGAGCTCAAATGTGCTTTTTTTTTTTTTTTTTTTTTTTTAAGGCAATAGCTTTCCTAATAGAGTTTCATACTAGTGGGAGCCTAGGATCCAGAGAAAGTGGTAAAAGCCAACCCAGCATCCTTGCTTCTGAGTAACTTTGCAGGTTCCATTCACCAAGTATATTAATTTTTTTCAGCAAAAAATCTATTAGAGCCATAGTGTCCAGCTGGCACTGCAAAATGCTGGAAGCTTCCTTGGGCTGGGCCCCCTCAGAAACAGACCCAAAGGTTAGGATTTAAGTACAAGTGATTTTTGACTGGAGAATTGATCCCAGCAAGGAGAGAAAATGAGCTAGCCTAGCAGAGAAGTCAATATAGAATGTTAATGAGCAGGTCATGCCTCTGAGATCCCCTGCAGTCCCCCTGAGGTTTAGGAATCAGACTGCTGCTACTAAAAACTGCCTTGGCACTTAGTACATGTAGCCTAGTAGAAGGTTATGTGGATTTCTGATGTCCTGAGCTCTGTTGTTCCCACATAGTGCAGAGTTACCTCTGCTCTTTTTAGCCTGCAATCCATCTAACAATGCAAAGGGTAATCATTTGGTTATACTTAATTTGTGGAAATACTGGGGTTTGAACTCAGGGCCTGGGTGCTGTCCCCTAGCTTTTTCACTGAAGGCTAACCATCTACAGCTGACCCACAGCTCCACTTCTAGCTTTTTGGTGGTTAATAAGAGATAAAAGTCTCTTGGGCTTTGCTGCCAAGGCTGGCTTCAAACAAAAATCCTCAGATCTCAGTCTCCTGAGTAGCTAGTATTACAATGGTACCCAGCAGAGTAATGGATAACTTCAGTTTCTTTACTGCCCCCTTAAAGGTAGCTGTGCAAGGCAGTCTTTGAGTTTCAGTGGAAGGCCTCCATTGAAAATGAATGCATTGCACTTCTTCAAGGAAAGGCCCTGAAGGAATCCTCCCAGGGGGACATTTTCTGTGAGTTGTGTTTATAGCAGTAGAGATTTCACAGTTCAATCCAACCATGTGTCACTCCTGACTCTCTGGGGACAAGAATGACATTTGCAGAGTGATTGGTATGATCAAGTCAGCTACTAATATTGGTGAACTTAGAGAAGAGGACAAAATACTGCTAAGTTGTTGGGCTGAATATGTGTTTCAGATGCATTGCACCAAACTACCAAGCATGAAGCCCTGAGTTCAAGCCCCAGTACACCAAAAGAAATAAATACTATTCTATATCTTCCTAATACATTGTGACAGAACCAAGTGGAAAGATAAGTAACCCTATAGTTTTTCTTTTCTTTTTTGGAAAATGACTTAGTAGGGAATTGAACAGGGACCTTCAACATACTTACTGTTTGCCCATATCAGAATTCTCCATATCAGAATTTTACCCTCCTTCCTATAGTTTTCATTTAACAAAAGACAGAAAGACATCAGAGACAAATTGAATATATTGTTAATGCATTTCTGGATTGTCTGTTAAGACACAGGGTGACTCTGTGGATAAGTAAAAAGACATACATAATCCATGTTGTCATGTATTCCAGAAAATTGGTATTCCCCTTTATCTTAGTAACATCATTAATTATGTTGTTATAATGAGGATTTTTCACATCCTGTTGGTAGTGATGATCTAAAGCTAGGCTTTTATAAAGTCCCATTTATCTACTCTCAATTCAGTCTATTTTTGTTATTTGACAACACTGAGATATGAACTCAGAGCTAGTTAGACAAGTGCTCTATCATTTGAGTCACACTCCAGCCCTTTATGCTTTAGGTTAATTTTTTTTTTGTAAATAGGATCTTGCATTTTTGCCTGAACTGGCCTTGAAACACTATCTTCCGATTTCCACCTTCCATGTAGCTAGAATGACTAGTATAAATCATATCCAGCCTTCTGTTCAATCATTGTGTATGTGTATGTTGGGGTTTGAACTCAGGGGCTTCAAATTCTCTCTTAGATTTTTTGCTCATAGCTGGTTCTATATCACTTGAGCCACACCTCTACTTCCAGCTTTGGGCTGATAATTGAAATGAGAGGATTTATTTTCTTGAGCTAGCTTTGAACCTCAATCCTCAGATCTTCTTGTGGCTGGGATTGCAGGCATGAGGCAATGGCTCCCAGCTTTAGTTCAGCCTTGTCTCAGTGATAGTAATCACATTTCAAGCAGCGCATGTGGCTAGTGGACAGCAGACATATAGAACATTTTCATCAGTGCAAAAAGTTCTGACAACCATGATCTTAAAAGACTAATGTGTCCAAATTATGCAAAGTTGGATTACATATTTTTCATCAAGTGTCCATTTTTTATATTTTCCTATAGTTGTTGAAAGTTATTTTCCTCCAATGATTCAGAGATCTATTACACTTAAAATGTAAAACACAATGAGTGAATATCAACTTTCGATGGAAATTGCTGTAAAGCTTAAAATTGTATTTAATATTTGAAAATTTAATTAGAACTGATAATTTTTCAACAAAAGATGAAACTATTAACAGCAGTACTTTTTTTAACTTTTTTTAAAAAAGATACTATACAGAGGGTTACAGTTACATGAGTGAGGTAATGAGTACACTTCCTCTTGAACATTGTTACCCCCTCCATTGTTTTCCCCCTACCATCCCTTCCCTCCCTACCTTTCCCGAGGTTCTTTTTGTTTTTTTATTGTGATTAAGTGATTACATAATTTCCGGAATTTCACAGTATTGTGGAATAATGATGCTCATTTAAAGTCACAAGTTCATTCTAACTTTCCTGGAGCAAATTGTCTATCACAGTCTATAACATAACGGTGTTCACATGTTATACACCATACATGTGATCAGCAGCATGGGGATATTTAGTAGTGGTTCGACCAGATGAGTGGGAGTTCTTTGTTTCTTAAGTCCTGTTAGTTTTGTCGTATCACCTAACATTTTGGATTTAGCATCCACTTATCAGGGAGACCATGTACCGGTTGTCTCTTTGCTCTTGGCTTACCTCGCTCAACATGATTCCTTCTAGCTCCATCCATTTCCCTGCTAATGCCATTATTTTGTCATTTCTAATGGCTGCATAATATTCCATTGTGTATAGATACCACAATTTTTGGATCCATTCATCTGTGGTGGGGCATCTAGGTTGTTTCCATATCCTAGCTATTGTGAACAGTGCTGCAATAAACATGGAGGTGC